TGCCAAGGTTGGGAAGCTGGTATTACAGAGTGTCCCCGGGGGAAATGGCTCACATTAACCACTAAATGAATATTTGACAAGGGCTCATTCGGGGGTATTATTACTACAAACGGGTCCCTACTGGACTTTCTAAGGGTCAAAGAGCAATGGTTCAATTAATTATTTAGACTGTTAGTAGATTTGGTTGTAATAGCTGTACTTATTTCTACAACCGACAGATTCTTACTGTAGGAACCCCTCAGGAGAATCTCTTCCCCGTCAGCAATGCCTTGCGATTTAAATACACAAGGTCGCCAAGGGGAAAACGGTTGCCTTTTTCCATAAGATATTTCTTAACGAAAAAAAATCTATTTTCCTTTACGGTACCCGTTGCTCTTCTGTCAGAGAACAAGAATTGTGTGTGATCATCACACTGTATTGCATCACAACATTAATACCTTTTTACGCCCCACATGCATGAGACCTGGACAGCTATCTTGGGACTAGGATGTAGATAGCTTCCCCCTTGAAGCCCCATATATTATGAAGGAAAGAGGCCCATAGCTGATAGGTATGATTAGATACACTTCATTTATTTCACTCCTGGGCTAACTCAAATATTAAAATCTAAAGCGTGCTGAGCAACCTGCGAGATTTGCAATGATGTATTCAAAATGCTGCAATTTAGGCTGCAGGAAATCCAACCTTATGAATGTTTTAAAGCTGGTGTCAACGTGTTTGTTGCTGTGAGCGATTTTTTTTAAAAAAATTATTTGGTTTCATTTCTGCCACAAACTTGTCCGGAGTAGTAGATACTAAAAAAGGTTGAGAGTGAGATTAGGTGACAATAATATATGTCGAATGAATGAGATAAGCTGCAAGGGGGGAGCGGGAAACAGTAATTACAAACCCAATTCATTCAGCTTTTCAGGACTTTTGTTGTGGGAGCTCTATTGACGGGTTTCGAGCTGCCAGTTTTCTCACATTAAAAAGAACTGATCAACGCCTCAGGGGGACATGCAATACCGCTTAACTGCATAGTGATGGGGTACTCATTTAGGGCCATTACAACAAGAAAATTAAACAGAGCTTTTGTGTGCACCAGGTTTACTTTTCAATTGCTGACAGTTTATAGCTAACTGCTCAGAGATTGAAGTTTGATTGCGGTTTGATCGCTTGCTAGTTAGCACCACAGCTTAGTTTTGGTAATTAAAACCCGCTCTGCTGAGGATGCCCGGGGAATTTCAAGAGCTGGTCATATTTTGCTTTTGAGGAATCAAGTCCATTTGGCAAGGAGGTGCAGCACAGAAGTGAGTGGTTGTTTTCAGCCTTTTAAAAAAAATGAAATGCTAAAAATTGTGTATTTCTCTGTGGCACAGAAAGTCAAAATACCACGGAAGAAACTAACATTTTCCTTGTTGATATCCGTCGCGCACTGTTAGGATTATAACCGAAACATATTCCTGATTAATTTCACCTTGTACATTTAATGTTTAGCAGTCTCGCGCTATATTTACGGGACCAGATGATGGGTTTCGCTTGCTAATGCTGTACATTTCAAGTAGAGGGGGTAGACGTTGCTAAAACCTTTAAGGGTGAATTTTAGCGGTGTGCTCTCCAAAT